CGGTGAACCACTAGTTCCGAGTCGCGGCCGCCGTCGTCCTCCTCCTCCTCGTCGTCAGAGCCAAACAGCACTCCATTGGCGCCAATCCTCTGGAAGCCCTTCTTCTCGTACTTTTGCTGCACTAATACGTTGTAAACGCAGAGCGAGACAATCAGAATGGTTAGAACAGCGGATCCGCATATTATCACAAATACGGCCCGAGGAATGCCGGCGATGCGCGTGTCGGACATCATGTCTATCACAAACAGGTTGTCCTGACCCGAGAATATTGTAGCCATTTTGGTTGACGGCCAAAAGCCGTCCGCCTCAATGGTGAGCACGTATTTGCCCTCATATAACGGTATCCGATAGTGGCCTTCGCTGTCCGTTGTGTACACTTTGTGTGCAATATTCTCGACCAGAATCTGTGCGCTACCGATACCAGAGCCGTTCTCGTCCACCACTCGGCCGTGGATACCGTTATTCACGTTATTAAGTAACTCGAGTACCGGTGTCTTGTGGTCGCGCCAGAGGTCACTCAACTCCGACTCGGGAGGACTGCCGCAACAGCCGACGTATACGTATAACTCATATACATTGGACGCGTTGAAGCCGTAGTCCAATAGCGAGCCGTTGGTCGGGTGCCAAATGGAACCGGTGGTGAAGCCGTTCTTAATGAGCCGATTCCGGTTCCCGTGACCGCATCGGGCGCTACCCATATGCATGTCTTTGTGTCGAAACCTCATCTACATGCGGTTCACAAGTTTGCTAACAAACAGTTAGAGACTTTCACCAGCGGCTCACTAGCGATTTTTCACTTAATGTTAAACACACTAATTTTGTTAACGATATAAAACGGTTAGCGTTAGAGATGTTGAGATACTCACAGGAATCGGTTGAACTGAACGGATAGGTAACGACATTACCGCCTGTCCTCAGCGTCACCGATACCAAGAAGTTCTCGGCTTTAGTCCATTTCTTAATGGCTTTGGTTTCGGGCGGAGATTTCGACTCAAGAGATCCTTTCAATGATAAATAGAAGTTATAATTGTTTTAATCACAAAAATAAACTTTTATTGATACCATCGAAGAATGACTGATCCAAATCGACATTCTTGGCGTTGGTCAGCCCTTTGGTGCTATCGCAACGGCCCAACTGAGCCAATTCGGCGCCATCCGGGTTGGCCATCGGCAGCACATAGATGTGTGTCATGTCAATCAGTTGAGTGATAAACGTGTCCTTCTTGTAGTGACTCAACAGATATTCAATCAATTGGATCAGGAGTTCAGTGGATGACCTTTCGTGGCCCTGAAGGCCACCAATGAACCGGACGTTAGCTGTTTCGGCGCCTCTTCTTTTCGATTCCAAACCGATCCTAAAGACCAATAGTTTGCGCTTTTGTACCGACTCTCCAATACTGGCCGTAAAACAGTGTTTAATTAAAATAATCGTTAATTTTGTAAACAAATTCAATTCAATACCTAAACAGTGATGTAATGTCTGGGTATTTATCGGAGTAATTGGCCAGAAGTGTGGCCATTGTTTCGTAATTATGGTAAGACATCAATAGACCGGTCGAATCGAGAATGACGTTTATTTTCTTATTTTCATTGGTCTTCACGGTTACCGACAATGTCTTGTTCTCAAAGCCGGGCGCAGAGACTAATGGAAAAGTAAATCAATAAATTGATAACAATTTCAATAAATTAGATAAATATAGTTAAACATTACAGTGAATGGTATAAACGCCGGCATTTAAAACCAAATTAAATCTCCCGGTCTTCGGATCGATTTCTATGGGCTCCTCAAAGCCCTCCATAATAACGGACACTGCTTTCGGTACGGCATTAGACGAGTCCAACACATAACCAGTTATGCCTTTAAATTACAAAATTAGTTTTGAAGATAAACACATATAAAAATATATAGCAGTAAATAGTTTTGTGTAAAATACCTGTTATACTGGTCTCCAAGAAACTCATCATTGACTCCATATTATTCTTCCAAAGTTGTGGCAACTCGTAAGACAATGGGTACGAACAACAGTCGATGCGCGCTGTCATCATCAGTGTCTTGTGATCGGCAAACCCGTAGTCTAATAGCGATTGTCCAACACTATGAATGTGTGACAACTTTTTATACGTTTTAATCACTTTTGTTTCGTTGCACTTAATGTCAGCCAAAAGGGATGGATTGTTGGCTTTGTATGCAGTGGTGAGCGCTTTGAAGCCAATCGACGAAAGGGATTGACCGTTCAGGTCGTCTAAATTCAACATCAGTGGTAATTCAACGCCCAGTCCGTGAGACTCCACACTCAGACCTGTCACGTACTTAAAGAGTTCGAAATTCTTCTTAAGCGCTTCGATGGCACCGAACTTATTGGCAAACTCTTCGGCAAACTTGTCCTCCAAGTCGTTGGTCACGTTCAACGATCGGTCGCACTGTCCGCTCACTGACCGCTCGAAACCCATGTCGTCCACAGACGGGATCACATGTAGTGTCAATGACTGCAACATATGAGTGACTCTCGGGTCGCGGCGTTTGTAACCTTCGATCAAGTGTTTCCACTTAGCATAGTTATTGAGAGACGGCTGCCCAACCAGCGGTACTTATGGCGGCTACTCGTGTTGCAACCCAGCTAGCGGCGGTCGGCACCGGAGTTTCAGCCTATGGAAGTTCTTTACCTCTTGAGTGTCCCGATTGGGCGCTCTATTCGAAAAGATTTTAACGATATTCGAGTTATTTGTGGCCAACTGTTCGAGCGTTTCGTGTAAGCGCTTGTTATCCATGTATGTGTCGGCCACCAAATTGTCTCCGATCCCAAAGTCGTACTTCTCTGACCAGCGGTCAAACCCGGACTCTAACGTGTAGTTTAACTGCGCGGCCAAACCGTCGGTCACGATAACGGACTGCGTCTGAGAGCCAAAGCCCTTCTTAAATACAGTGATCCGATAGACGCCGGGAATCAATAGACGCCAATAGTCGCCGTCGGCGGCCGAACGCACGTCGTGTCCGATACCCTCCACCCGAATGGTGGCGTTGGCCACTGGGTGTCCCTCCGTGTCCACCACAAAGCCCTTCACGCCTTTGTGCACCTCTTCGGCGAACGTAATCAACGAGCGTTTGTTTTGGTTCCAAAACATCTCGATGTCGGTCTCGTAGGGATACTTACGGCACCCGAGCTCTAGTGTGAGTTCAAAACAATTGGTGTGCAAATAGTTCCAGTCCTGCATTCCTCCGTATAGGGCGTACCAATTGGCGCCATTCGTTATACCATAAGCGAAGTTCTCGTTCATTATACCGCAGTCCGCCGGACATGACTTTCCCAAATGCATAGTCGCGTGATTCTGAAGATGTCAACGAAGTTAATACGACAATAAATAGTATATAAAGCTTAAGATAATTGACTGTTTGTAAGTTTACCAATGAGTACACGAGCGCCAGGTGTCGGAACAGCACGTCGTCGGGTGTTTTGCTGTAAATGCCGTCCTTTTGCTGAGAGTTGCCGTCGTATGGATAGTTGGCGACGAGTGAACCGCCGTGAAGATTGGCCGACAACACAAACGGCTCGGACAGCAACCACTTCATCATCGCTAGTGTCTCCTTCTCCTGAACCCATAAGAGAAACTTGCAGTACATGACTAGCCCTTTTAACGCCAACTCTAGGTGAAACACTCGCAAAGGCGCCGGCATGAGACTCAATGTCAGCGGCTCGTCACTGAAGAGCATTGGCAGCCCTAAGTAAGTTGGCATCAAATGGATTCGCGTCGAGTTGACCAGACGTGTGATGCGCGGCTCAATGCCGTAGTTCTCCAACAGATACTTGGAGAAGAGTAGCAACAGTTCCCGTCCGATCACTTCGTTGCCGTGCATATTGGCCACGTACTTGAACTCGGGTACGCCCGGCCGGTGCACGCCTGGAGTGATGCCGATCTCGAGCACCATTAAGTCCCGGCTCTCCACCGATTGGCCGATAGAGTAAAGTCGCGTCAAATGCGGATACTTTGCGTTCAACCGTTGCATATAGTCTTTGAGGTCAGTGTAGTTGTGATGCTTGTACTCAGTCTTCGTGCGGAAGTCGTATTTGGAAGTCATGTTATGGACGGATTGGTTCCAGCGTTCGGCCCAGTGTTGCCCCTCTGTGGCCACACCGACCGTAGAAGCTGTCAAACTTGCGGTGGGTGTAGACGACGACGATTGGCTGCTTTTATGATTGTCGACAACCACTGGCACCGCGTCCGGGCTGTTGACACTGGGATAGCGTTGGCCGCCGATAGGATTGAGCTGAAAGTCGAGTACTAGAGGCGTACCGGCGGTCGTGTTTTTGATCACAACATCCTTTTTTGTTAGAGATTCGTAGCCTACGGCTGAGGCCGTCATCTGGTATACGCCGGGCAACGCTAACCGCCAGTATTCCCCTCTATTAGTGGTCACTACGTTATGATCGATGCTATCGATCTTAAATGTGGCGCCTTCGATGGCTTTGCCGGTCACTGAGTCCTTGACGAGACCTTTCACTCCCATTTGGACCTAAATATCAAATTTTTCAGTTAATTAATATGTAATTAGCTTTAAAATTAAGATTTTGTATACCATTTCAATGTATGATAAAAGAGATTCTTTATTATTAAGCCATTCCTTCTGGAGTTCCGTTTCTTTTGGATATTTACAACACGAGAGCTCAAGAGTTATCTCAAAACAGTTGCTATGAATGTAATTGAAGTCTTGCATTCCTCCTGAAAAGAGACCAAACATTGTAATTTATATTTTGTGAATATATATCACCAGTCACTATTGGTCACCAGCCCGCCTGTGTATGGCCCGTGCAGTATGGTTAGCCGCGGCAATCACTATGGCAACCGCTTGCTCAGCAGGTCTGTATGGCTTCCGTTACTCATAGTCTTGTGGTTCTGAGAGTACGTCAGCGCCAATCGCTCAAAGAGCTGATTGTCGGGCGAAACACTCTTACGGCCACTGACTGAGTGTTGGGCCGAGTCGTCGAATGGATAGCTGGCCACTAATGAACCGCCGTGAAGGCCGGCCGACAGAACGAACGGATTCGACACAATCCACGTCATGGCGGCCAGTGTTTCGGGCTGTCGGCGACTGTCGCCCGTCGTGTCGGCCACGAATTGGTCGGGAAAGTCGCGATTCAGGTCAACGTTGTTGGCGTTCTGACGGCCCGACTGACGCTTCTGTGCCCCAAAACAGTCGCCCTCTTTGGCCAACTCGAAGCCGTCGGGATTGAGTGACGGCAGTAAATATACTTCAGTTGTGTCCAAAATTCTGGTCACCCGCTCATCGGTGCCGTAGTTTTCACACAAATACTTGGCCAGCGTTAGCAACAGCTGTCGGCCCAGCGCTTCGTTGCCGTGAATGTTGGCCACGTATTTCAACATTGGCTTCAATAGTGGCCGCAACTGTGGCCGCACACCACCACTCGTGCCGTTGTTGGCCGTCAGCCGCAGTGTCCATAAGTCCCGATTCTGGACACTCTTCCCGATGGATGACAATTGCACTAAATCTTTGTATTTGTGGTGCAATTCATTTAAATAATCAGTCATTTGCTGGTGTTTTAAGTAATGTCTGTCGGGATCGGTGGCCGCGACCGCCGCTGACCAACAATACGTCACTTTCAATACAAGTATACATAAAATGAGCGAAAATGACATCACATTTGAAGACATGATTATAAAAATCTTATATTAAAAATATATTTGTTATTAAAACACAATTATATATTCAATAAATACTTTAAATTTAATAATTAATTCAATTAATAATTAATTTAAAAACACATGATTTAAATGGTTTGCATTGAAATTTTCAATTTGAAAACATATGTCTTTGAATGAAAAATGTTTTGATCACTTTGTATGGGATATAAATTAATTAAAAACAAATATAAAACTCGTGGTTAAATGACAGCATTAATTACAAAACACTATTTATAATGACATCACTTTTAATTGTCAATTAAAAACACTTTTAACATTAAAACATAAACTTAATTACAAACACAAAAAACACATTTTTGTTGAGCAAAAATAATTTCGTTTTGTTTAACATTTAAATAACTTTTAATTACAAATAATAGTTGTTTTCATATCACATATTCAGCGATCATTTATGTATAAATCTAACTATAATTACAATTAAATGCAAATTAAACCACATTTACATTGAATGCAGAGTTTGTGTCAAACATTTGTAAATGTTTTCAACGAATTCAATACCGAAGTGAACACGAAATCGCTTTTAATACTAATAAAGCCTCACATGAGTCGTGTGTGCGAGTCATCAATGCGTGCGCAGAGTGTGTATGGGGTAGAGGTGTGTGCAGTGCAGTCAACAATGCATTTAAATGTCAAATTGTAATCAGCGTACAAATGAGTGATCATTAGTGACAACACGTGACAACACGTGCGCTCCCTTTGAGTATATAATGGGTCGTAAAGTGAGACCCAATCACTCACTACTGACTCGAGTATTGAAGAGACGACTCTTGACAACACATTTAAGTATGACATCCATATCAGCGGTGGTCAGAGAACTCATCTCTAGTTTAATGTCCATCAGTCACATGAGGGTTGAGCGCACGTAAGCCACCAAACAATACCTGTTTAGCCATACATTGATTGTCTCTAAACCCCTTCCATAGGGAACGCCTACTGGAAGCGCTTCGTTCAGTGTATGGCTCGCCGTCACGCCTCCCGACGGCTGTGACCAACCGCTACGGCGTGGACGCCACCGATCGCTTCCACATTATTATGGGTCTCATTCGCGGCCTCCAACCGGACAATCAGCTTCTGGTTGAGGCGATCGACGCCTTTGCCGACCGACACCCGGCGGTTCCGGAGGTCGACAATAGTGATGCCTTAATGCAGGCGGCCGTCGACGAGGAGTCAACTTCGGCCTCAAGTCTTGAACTCGATGTCGAGCCGGACGTCGAGCCAGAACTGGCCGCCGGTCCGGACGTCGATATGCCTGACGTGGAGAGTGGCCCTCAAAGTGGCACACATTCGAGTCATTCGCCGAATGTCACCGAAACCAGCCGTTGAAGGCTTGAATGTTCGGAACAGTTGGCGGCCATACGTTCGTCCGATGAGCTGTTGGTTTGAGTCAAATGTTTGTTTATTAACTGTTATATCAATCACTAATTCTGGTCACAAACCACGAGAGCACTCGACCGCCGAACACATAAATCGAATTCTTCATCGGATCAGTTGACCATCAATTGTATCAATAATATTAACACTTATTTATGCGTAAATTCATCCTAATATTCTATCTCTCTTTTTCTACTAATCTATTGCTGAAACCGATTATGTATTTAAATTCATAAATATATTTATTAAATGACACCAAAAAACAGAACAATTAAAATGTAATTAATTTATAAGAAATATAATAAAAATATACAATTATAGCAATAATTAGAAAACTAAATCACGTGATCATTATTTGATGGGCGCGTTGGACATCGACTTGCACGTGATGAGGCCACGGGTGGTGACCAACGGATTGCCCGACCACTCGGCCAAACCATTGTGAGAAGTGCGTAGATCTGTCTGCAACTTCTCCCACACCTTCTTCTTGGGGTTCAACTGTTCCCAAGTGTCGGACGCGGGCCGGGAGTAGCCCTCGACGAACACCCGTTCGCCGGGTTGGCTGCCGGGCGGGGGGTTTAGCGGTTCCACTTGTCTGGGCTCGTCTGTCGAGGCGCACAGAATCATTCCGCGCGACTCTACGCCACGCATTTTGGCCGGCTTTAGGTTCGCCAACACTACGACCAGTCGCTCGTGCAGTGACTCCCGCGTCATGAGTGCCGCCAAACCGCTCACCACTGTTCGAGTGCCGCCGTCTGCGTCTCCCAAATCGATTTGCGACACATATAGGGAGTCGGCGTCCGGATGCTGTCCAACAGGAATACAATTAAGTAAATTGTTTCATGTTTTTGGTTCACTTAATAGACTTTATTAACCTTTTCTATGTCCACAATCTTTCCGACCCGAATGTCCAGCAGTGATGGATTGATATCGTTAGCACTTGTGGCCACTACTTTGCCCTCTAGTTTGTCACACAATTGGTGAACATGTTTTAGACATTGTATTCAAAATCAAACATAATATAAGCCATACTTTTGTCGAGCGATGGGTAGGCGTTGTCCGTCAACTTCTTCAGCTTCGGGTCTTTGAATGTCTCGCGAATCGGTTCTAACAGACGATTCAAGTACTTCTCAACGGCCGCCTTCAGGTCTCCGGGATGTAAACGCTGTGAAAACAAAACATAATTAACAAAATCTATGCAAACGAATCATTTATTGTCAGTAACCAAAGGACTGGTCACTCATATGGCGTACCAATTGAACGAAATCGTCTTCGAGGGACTGGTAGGCGGCGTACGTCAGGTCTCCGCCGTTGGCCTCTTTGCGTGCGATCACAAACGTGTCGAAGAGGGAGAACACCACGTGCTTAACGAAGGCCAACACCCCGTTGTCGGCGATCTTTCCCGGTTCGCAGAACGCTCTCTTCAGCTTCTTCTTCACCACATCCGGTGAGTCCAACAAATCAATCTTCGAGTCCTCTTCCGACGACGACATTTTGCCAC